AAAAAAAAAAAAAAAAAAAGAAAAGAAAAGAAATTGCCCCTTAATATTACTAGGTTTCTGGTTTAGAAAGTAGCTGAGATCATTCTAAAGGTCATTTTAACAACACTTAGCTTGGAAAAATCATTTTTTCCCATTGGTAGACCATAGAAAGTGACATGGCCAGAGTCATGTCCAGAGAAATCTATCTGACATCAGCAGGAAAGGCAACAATTTATAAGGCTGTTGAAGAAATATTAATGACAGATGCCAGAAGCCTGGACCCAGGTAATGAGCATCAATGAAGATATTTAGAGAGGGCAAGTTATGTTTTAGAACTCAAGCTGATACATCCTGATGAACTCATTGATTTGGGGAATCAGAAAGAGAAGGCTTAAGGATGGCTCCAAGGCTTTGCTTTGCAATGAGGTAGATGATGATAAGTACCCTTTACAACTATAGGAATTATAGGAGGAGAAGCAAGTTCAGGAAGGAAAGATGATGACGTTGGATTTTTATCAGCTTTTTTTGAGGTATTAAAATTTACCCACTTAACATAATGAATTTTAACCAATGATTACAGTGGTGTAATCATCCCTTGTGCCCCTTTGCAGTCAAGTCCCCCTCACCCCCCATGTAACTACTATTTTGCCTTCTAGCATAGTAATTTTGCAATTTCTACAACTTCATAAAAATAGAATCATAGTCTGTTTTTTTTTTGGAGGGGGGATTTTTTGTTTCTTTGGCTCCCTTCACTTGGTGTTATATGTTGATGATTCATTCATATTGTTGCATATATCAGCAACAATATAATAATATTCCATTTGTATAGTGTACAGTGACTTGCTTATCTGTTTACCATTTTAGGGGCATTTGGGTCATTTCCAGTTTGGGGTTATAATTTTGCCATGAACATTAACATACAAGTCAAAAGCAAGTTTATAGATAAATGTTTTCTCTTTTTCTCATAAGAACATTCCACATCTATGCCAATTCTTGAAATTTTAACCCTTTTTTAATTTTAGGAATTCTGCTGCATGTGTATTTTTATAGTTTGCATTTATTTAATGCCCAATCATGTTGGGAATCATTTTATTTATTTGCCATTTATACATCTTTGTTTGTGACGTGTTTACAAAGTTTATGCCCATTTCTATTTTGAGTTGTTTGTTTTCTTAGTAATGCATTGCA